AAAAAAAAAAAAAAAATACAAATACAACTGTTAACTTTTCTATAAATTAAAACTGCAACAAGTATTCTAAATAATATAGAAACACAGAAGATTGTTAACTGACTTTAATGACATAACATAAAGCCCCTAGAATTGATATACTCATTATGCAAAATACATAGATGAATACTGTCTTCTTTTAAAAATATAAGATAAATAAGCAAGACGTGAAAATGGGCAAGTTTCCACCAAATAAATGAAAACTTAAAAAAAAGAAAGTTTTCCTTTCCATGTCATTTGAAGTGAAATTAACATTTTAAACAATATATTCAAGTTTATTAAACAAAATTTTAAAAGTATTATAAAATGTTTAACTTTCATCAGCTTCAAGGTTTACGTTGCTGAATTTTGCATATAACTGAACTTTCAAATCTGCTCACACCTGTTGAATTGATTCTACTCTGGATTCTAAGGCATCAATTTCTTCTTGGAAATTTTTCTTTGCTTCTTCTAACATGTCTTGCGTTTCTTCTTGAGAATAGCAAGAAAACGTCACCAATCTGGTAAGCTATCATTAAGCTGTCATCATCACAAGCGTCTTCTGGAGTTGTTTCTTTTTTACTTCTATTTCTTCCTTTAGCTCTGTGATTCTATTCGTATTCCACGCAAATTTATGTATCTTTTGTTGATCTTAGAAAGTAACATTGACATCTTCTGCAGTAATTTCATGTATCACCACCTTCTTCATCTTTTGGGGGGGGGTACCGGGGATAGATATCAGGACCCTGCACTTGCAAGGCAGGCGGCGACACCACTGAGCTAAATCCCTGGCCCAAGAGAACCTGTATTCTAATAAGATGGAAAACACAAGAAATGGACAGATGCCTAGATACATGTAAATTACCAAAGCTGAATCAAGAAGATATAAAAACCTTAAATCAATATCAGTCAATGAAATTGAAGATGTAGTTAAAAACCTACCAACAAAAAAAAAAAGCTCAGGCCCTGATGGATTCACTACTGAATTCTACAAGAAATTTATTATTTTTTTTTTTGTTTTTGGTACCGGGGATCGAACTTGGGTCCTTGCGCTTGCGCAGCAGGCGGCAAAACCACTGAGCTAAATCTTCGGCCCCTCTACAAGAAATTTAGAGGGGGCGGGGATTTAGCTCAGTGGTTCCGCCGCCTGCCTAGCAAGCGGAACGACCCGAGTTCTATCCCCGGTACCCACAAAAAAAAAAATAAGAAAAAGAAATTTAGAGAAGGGCTGGGGATTTAGCTCAGTGGTTTTGCCGCCTGCTGCACAAGCTCTAGGACCCAAGTTCGATCCCCGGTACCAAAAAAAAAAAAAGAAAGAAAGAAATTTAGAGAAGATCTAATGCTCCTAGTTTCAAACTCTTTAATGAAACCGAAAGGGAAGCAATACTCCCAAATTCATTCTTGGAAGCAAGCATTATCCTGATACCAAAACTAGAAAAGGATCTAACCAAAAAAGAGAACTACAGTTCTCTCGCCAGTTTCTCTAATGAACATAGATGCAAAAATCCTCAATAAGATACTGGCAAACAATATAGCAAATCATCAAGAAGGATTCATCCCAGGGATGCAGGGATGGTTCAACATATGCAAATCAATAAATGTAATACACCATATTAACAGAGCCAAGGACAAAACCATAGGATCATCTTAATAGATGCAGAAAAAGCATTTGACAAAGTCCAACACCCATTCATGGATAAAAACTCTATAGAAAATCAGAATAGATGGTCTTTATCTCAATCTGATAAAACCCATCTATGACAAACCAATAACCAAAGTCATACTAAATGGACAAAAACTGAAAGTGTTCACTCTAAAATCAGGAACAAGACAAGGATGTCTGTCGACTGTCACCACTCTTATTCAATATAGTCCTGGAAACAGCAAGAGCAACTAGCCAAGAGAAAGAAAGAAAAGGAATAAGGATAAGAAAGGAAGAAGTTAAAAAAATCATTATTTGCAGATGACATGATACTTTACATAGAAGGCCCCAAAAACTCTACCAAAAGACTTCTAGGTTTAATAACCAAATTCAGTAGTGTAGCTGGATATAAAGTCAATACTCTACAATCTGCAGCATTTCTGTACATAAATAACAAACTCATGAGGAGAAATTGGGGAAATAACACCTTTCACAATAGCATC